ATATGCTCAGGCTACAAATATAACCTCCTCCTCGGTAGAGTCGTTAGTCACATTAAATTCGAACTACAACCAAGTGATCTGTATCTAGTACTCTTCTAAGACCTTTGGTGGTGGCATCTTTCCCAAAACTTGGTGAAAAATATCGAATCGGTTGAAATCGTTTTGTCTCACTAGTGTCGCACCATTAACTGAAACACCGAGTTGATAAGTGACATCTTTCAACGTAATCGTCGTTTCACCGCTTGAAAAATGGAAAATATGTGTCTCATACCTCTAATGTTCAATCAGAGCAGAAATCAATGCCGAGTTCACCTTAAAACCATGCATAAATGTGGCTAAATACAGTTCGGATTGTTGTAGATATATAATAATCCGTTGATGCAAATCTCTCATTGTCATTCGTCACGTATGCTCAATTCTTCTTCTGGACCGAGTTCAATCGAAGAAATATGGACAACATCAATGCGTAACATTTCATTTCAAGTAAACATTTTTCAGGAATTCTTCAAAAACTATGAATTTTTCTTAATTTTTTGCTTAACAATACATAATAAAAATCCTAAACCTCAAACTCATATTTATAAATCTAAACTCAACGACTATATTTTTTAAAAATCTCACCAAACTCGTCACCTCAAGATGACGAATTTTGCCTTAACTGTTGTAGTTGCTCGTTGCATAACAACTATAAACTACTATTTTTAAAAAAATAACATAAACTTATCACTTCGATGTAATGAATTCCCTATTTTTTTAAATTTTTTAATTTTTAAATAATTAATGAATTAAAAAAAGCTAACAAGACAAATCTTGAGAAATATATTATAATATTAACTCATGATGGATCCATAGATTTGGTACTGTTAAAAATAATTTTTGATCGAATTTGTGTTCGACTGTAGTAATTATCGTAAATTGTAAAATAAATTCGAAAGTTAGATTATTGAGTTAAATAATTTGGCCGCTTGCAGTGATGGAAAAAATAGGTGAAGGAAAGAAAATCTAATATAAGGTTAATAAAATACGCTATCGGAAATGTTAATATTTTTACTAAAAATATTATTTTTTTTACTAAAAATATTAATATTAGACATTATTTAAAATATTATTTTTTTACCGAAAATAGTAATATCAAAAATATTAATTTTAGGTAACGAAATTAATATTTCTAGTAAAAAAACAATATTTTAAATAACACTCTACTGAAAATATTAAAAAAAATATTAATATTTTCAATTACAATTTTTTTCAATTTTATATTAAATTACTGTACAGCATAACTAAAAAAAATACCCATGATTTCAAGTGTAATATCAGTCTGCAACAAAAGCTCCCTTTCGTTTCATTTTAAATAAACAATTACTAAAAGAAAAAGAAACTTCTCTCCCGCTTTTATTCTGATTTTCTTTGCATTCCCCAAAAACTCTCTTTCCGGAATGCTCTCTCTGTCGTCTTAAACATCGATCCAATCCCCAACCTGAAATGCCGCCGTTTTGTTTTGTCGGAATGAAGCTCACCGTTAAAACCTTTCTTCTCAATTCCCGTTTTCTTCTCTTTTCGTTGGGTTAAAAATTGGGATCGAAATTTCAATCTTTTTTTTTAAATGGTGTTTTATTAGGTTATGGTATTGAAGAAAAACATTGAAGATATACAAGGGAAAGACAGTTATCCTTGCGGCCAACAGCTTTTGATTCACAATGGGAAAGTTTTGAAAGATGAAACCACCTTAGCTGATAATAAAGTCTCCGAGGATGGTTTCCTTGTTGTCATGCTTAGCAAGGTATAATTTTTCTTTTTAAACGGTTACTTTTTTTTTACTAAGTTGGCAAATATTTTCACATGTATTTTTTTTATGATTTTTTTAGTATTGTATTTTCTGCTTATATGGTCTGCAAGATGAGAACTGAATGAGAAGGTGTTTCGACTTCGAGTATTGTAATGTTCAGATAACAAAGTTTTTTTTTAATTGTTAAGTTCGCCTTCTTGCATTCATTTCCTTGTATCAAGCTGTTTTGGTTGTTTTGAGTGTCATACCTGTGGATTATATAGCAATGTGGAGAACCGTTTGCTAAAAGTATTTGGCTTCATCTGAAGCTTGATGTGTTTCAAAGGAAAAGGAAAATTTTCACCGGCAGTATGGAGTGTTTCATGGTTTCCTTTTTAGCTTCCTCCTTGTACGTTCTCGATTAGCTCGATATTTCTGAATGGTTTAGCATGATACATGCACTTGTAGTATTGGTACTTACTTTCAATTGTTTGGATGTTCTTAAAGAGCAAATTTTTGAGTTCAGCCGGGGCCTCTTCTGCTCAGGTAATCTTATTCTTTTGATTTGTTTCTATTAGGTTGAGCATTATGTTCAAGTTCCACTTCATGTTTCAAATCAAAATAAAAACAACTTTAGCCTTCTCTTGCCTGACAGCCTGCTTCATCAACTCCATCTAGTACTGCACCTGTTTCTAATCCTACCCTTACGGCTACACCTACCCCGGCAGCTTCTGCACAAGCACCGTAAAACCATTCTACTAATGTTCTCCCTCCCACAAAACATGCCCTGTTCTAAGTCCAGCCACATTTATCTTATGCACATCTTGAATTCTTTTACTGTAGGGCTTCAATGGGCACCACATCTACTTCTGATGCTGCAACAACTAAGTATGTGATGTCTATCTTCTAAATACTTGTTTAGCAGGTCAATAGATGCATGAAATCATGTGTATGGATCTCACAACATTAATTTTCATGATATGCAAGTATTTAGAACCACTTATGATTGACTTTTACCGTGGAAAGAAGAGAATCAAGTAGAAGATATTTGATAGTAGTTTGATTTCCTTTTGGTTGTTATTGCCAATAAAAAAATAATAATATCATCTTTGCTAATGAGGAAGCAGAATAGCACTTATTTTTGCTAATGAGGAAGCAGAATAGCACTTATTATTTGCATTTTGCAGTGCCCTTCATACCTCTTTTTGTTTGTGTTGAACATCCCTTTTTGGCTGTGAAGGTCACATTATTTCAACCAGGCTTGACTCTATAAGAGAAGTTCTGCTAAACTGAATTCCACCTTTCAATTTTTTTTTATAGAACTCGGCAGTACAACTTTCTACATGAACATAATCACTTCATTTTCTGTTTGCTTTACCGATTGAAATTGTTTGAATCATTTACTTTTTTGATGTAGTAAGCAGTTATATGTTTCATCTGAGATTGTATCTGTTGACAATGCTAGGAATATTTTCCTCTCGCTCTAGACATTGAAATGAACTGCCAGGTGTTATCTGATTAATCTTTCCTTTTGTAATTTGTTTCTTGAAAAGAATGTATATTGCTGCTTTTCCCCTCCACCACACCTCTTGTATTCTCTTAATGTTGTGAAAGTAATGAGGAAAAGGTATTCTTGATACAGTCCAAGTGCCAATACGTATAGTCAAGCTGCTTCCATTTTAGTTGCTGGAACTAATCTTGAACAAACTATCCAACTGATGGATATGGGTGGTGGCAACTGGGACAAAGAAACAGTAACTCTTGCACTTCGAGCTGCTTATAACAATCCGGTGAGAGCAGTGGATTATCTATACTCCGTATGAAACTTTAAGATTGTATCTAACATTAAACTACTTATTTGTTGGGATGTGGTTCTGATGCGATCTTATCTTCAGGGGATTCCTGAATCAGCAGAAGTGGCTGTGCCGATGGCTCGTTTTCCTACAAGTCAGACTACTGAAACTGGTGCAGCTCCTGTTGCAGGGGCTCCTAATTCATCACCTCTTAATATGTTGCCTATGGTAAAACCTTAGAGGCTTGGGCTTTTGAAGTACTTATATCATAAACACAAACTATTGTTCATTATAGTGTACAATGGTTTTCGTTTCTCCTTAACATGCTGAAATGATACTAGGAAACACTTTCTGGTGCTGATGCTGGTGGGCTTGAATCCTTGGATTTTCTCAGAAACAACCAACAGGTGTAGTCATGTTAAATCATTTGCTTTCTCTTTAACTATGAAGCATTTTAGTTCTCCGACACATGAAAGGCTAAGTGCGTCTTTGTTTGCATTTTAGAGTTCCAAGAATTGCGTTTAATGATACAATGGTTGTCCCTTGTTCCCATATGTAATGGGATAAGGAGAGGTAAGATAGTAGGCTACCCCCAACATTAGGTTGAGAGCAGCTTCCGTAGGAGACCTCCAAATTATGAAAATGCGTTTAATGATACAATCAAACCCGCAAATTCTACAGGTTTGTATTTCTTCGTTTTTCGCCATCTAAATAACAGCATTTTGTTGTTCTGGAATTGATCTGTTTCTGTTACAGCCCATGCTACAGGAGCTGGGGAAGCAGAACCCCCAGCTTTTAAGACAAATTCAGGAGCACAATGCAGAATTTCTTCAGCTAATAAATGAGCCTCTCGAAGGTTCTGAACGGTGTTTGTGTATGGAATATCTCACCAGGCTATATGAATGACTTGGTGTCGGCAATAATATCAGCTTAAATCTTTATTTCAGGGATATATTTGATCAAGCTGAACAAGACATGCCTCATGCCATCAATGTTACCCCGGCGGAACAGGAGGCTATCCAACGGGTAGGCAAATCTATTGCTGTTATGTAATCTTATTTTATTTGGATCCCTCTCTATCCTCAATTTATTTTTTGGCTTGAAGCTCGAAGCAATGCGATTCAAGAGAGCTCTCGTCACTAAAGCCTTTTTGGCTTGTGATCGCAACGAGGGATTGGCAGCAAACTATTTGTTGGAGAATCCCGGAGATTTTGAGGATTGATTACTTTGTTTTGTTATAGTTTTGGTCGATCGTATACGAGTTTATCTGCTAGGCATGTTTACTTACTGTTTGGGATTAAGCATTGATATGATTGTTTGTTTGTTCTATATATAAAAAAATTATTAAAACAGTTGGTTTTTATATGATTGTCATCACTGAACATATCATCTAGTACACTGCACTCGCATAGCTAAAACCTTCAACAGGAACTAATAGCTAATTGGTGCTTAAGTTTGTGATGTTCATAAGCTCATGAAAGATCAATATTGTTTTGTCGACTAGGATTTGCGTTCCAAATCCGTCTCTGGTCACATATATATACAGACCAATGATATCCTAAACAACTTTGCTTTTGGAGACTTAGAACTCCCTGTCTGGGAACAGAATAGGAGCAAGGAGAGACCACAAATAGAGAGCTGCAGTTACCCACCCGGTTAAAATGCGGACCCACACAGATGGCCACCCCACATCTACTAACTTACCACTCTCCCCAACCGAGGTCGACCATCCCGTCAAAAGCATTGCCGAGTACATACTCGCCAGAGAAAAGATGACATGGAAGAAGGCATACGAGTATGTCACCTGCTTATTCTCCATTTCCTCTTCCTGCTCATCCGCCTTGTCCAATGGAAGTAAAGGCTTGCCACCACCTTCACGCATTCAAACATAATGTTAAACTCTACCCATAAAATGTAAGGAACAAATATTCTTTTACTAATAAAAACAAAAAAAATTGTTGACTTTTGAACTAGCTAATTTCTATCCTTCTCCTACACCACAACCATCAAACTTAGAGACAACTCGGCACAAATTTGAAGAAAGAAATATCATAAACTATATACGGTTTTTCTAATGGTATATTGTTTATAAAGATTGAATATTCTCATTAACAATACCTGCACGAGGAGAACTTGGTGGGGAGAGCAGAGTTGTAGAAGATCCAGCACGAACGGCAGAATATACAACAGAAAGGATAGTGGTAAGCAGACCAACGGTCACAGTGCCAGTAGAAATTGCTTTAGCATGCTTGTGAAGACCATTGCATTCATAATCTCTTGGTTCACTTGCAAGTCCACTGTAGCATAGATACATGCAGTACAGTGATATAACCGATGCTGGCAAAATGCTACCGCCAACCTGTAACATGACAAGTTAATAAGACAAGAAATCACCAAGATACAAGTATTAGTCAATTAAAAATGGAAAAGAAGCATCTCTATAGGTTGTAATAACTAACGTATGAGAGATGAGACCACAATGCTTCAATTTTATGGAACAAAGGAAAAGAGCATGCTTGTAAGGTTTAATACTAAAATGGTTAAGAGATCTTTGCACTAAATTCATGAAATAGGTTGACATGTGGATAGAAATGCACGTTTATATCCACAAGCTAATGACCATCCTCCTATGTTTGAAAAGGTAAATCTATCTTATCAACCATGGAAACAGTATCATAATTCTAATTGGTACTACCAACTCAAGCTTAGGCCAGTCGACTTTACATTAAAGGATTATAATCCACAAGAGAATTAGCTGTTTGAATGAAAGAGATGATAAAATTTGCACATGGTTGCATCAACTTTACTCCAGTTAATGTATTAACTCTGAGGTGATTGATAAAAACACAGAATTATTTGAGTAGATAATGAGAATTATAATTATGAAGAACCAAAAGTAAAGACTTACTGCAGGATGCAGTGCAACTATGGCAAACAAAATAACAAGAATCAAGGTCATCACGATAAAGAAGGTGTTGAGTCCACAATCGTATCCAGATGGAGTGAACCAGTGGAAAAGAAGTCCCGAAAAGCCAAATGTCGCCAAATAGCAAACAAGTGAAACAACAAACAGAGCAATGTACCTATACATAAAAAAACAAGCAGGCCATGAATCTGAAGAATACAGTGAAGAAATATCATAAAAACATCAAAAAGCAAAACTAACCAGAACTGCTCATTGTATCCAACCCATTTGTCATTCCATCCATGAACGAAGTCAAGTAGAAGCACAACTTGAACCAAAAGAAACAGTCCTGAGCCAAACTTAGATATCATCTCTGCAATTGCAACATTTAAGTTTCAGATGAAGTCAAACCAGAAGTGGCTTTAGATAATTTATCATTTCCTGTAATTATTTGTAAATGCTCTGTCAGAAATTGTCTCCTATAGTATGTAAAGACTTTCAAAATAATGACTTAAAAAAATCAAAATAAAAATATAATAACAGTCTTAATTTAGTAGAATGATACACAAGCAGTGTAACTTACCATAAAAGCTGATGATCTCGTTAGGAACAAAAAACATCAAAATAACTAAAATGAACCAGCAGATAATTTTCATCATCCATCCACCATGGTGTAATCCATCACGAGGATCTCTCTGATTTTTCACACCAATCATTAAAAATGAAAGGATAGTGAAAAACAGAAAATTTCCCAAGCTGACCCTGAGCACCGCATCTGTTTCAAACCATTCCCTGTTGGGTGTTTTGTGAAAATGATTGATCCCTGTATAAATAACAATATTAAATTAACTAAATCAGCAAATTAGGTATATGCAAGACACAGGCAACAAGTCCCTTTTCTTCATCGAGAAACATGCAAAACATCACACATGAAATGTGCCTCATGTCGATAATTAATGACAATCTAATATGGGCAAGCATGGTCCAGGAGAAGTGAGGTGTGACTACCAGCAATCCAGCAATCAAAGATAAATGTATAAAAGAACAAGCTCACAATTCATTCAGGAAACCGTTTTGATTCAATATACTAAACTCAAGGCAATAAACATGGTAATGCAGTAGATGTCCAGATTCACGTGGTAATCGGAGCATTCTTCAAATTTGCTAAAAGACATTATACATTAAGATAGCATCTTTAAAATGCATTTAGCCCCGTGAAAGAGACGCTAATGAAAAAAAAATAAAGAATTTAACTTTTCCACCCACATTTGCGTGGATATTATTTACTATATTTTGCAGCAACATTCTCAATCAGAGTAACAGGTAACCAAGATATTGTTGGAATCTTCAACAAAGTACACTCCGAATAATTAATAATAAAAAAGAAATTAAGCAAAATTAGCAACAACAAAAGTAAAATAGAAGAGGCAAAATTAAACGAAGCTTACAAGGCAGGTTCTCCATGAGAGGAGCGGCAACCTCACGGAGAATCCATGAAACAATCAGAGAAAGGGCAAATAGTCCACAATAGGCGATCCTTGCAGACCTCCGGCTAATCCCCGAAACCACAGTGCGGCACGCATCGCAGGCGCACGCCGCACAACACGATGCAAGGCATGAAGCAGCCCACATCTTCTTCAACCACAACTAAAATAGATTAAGGCGCCGAACCCCCCACAACCCTAACGAACAATAAATAACGGAACAGAATTAAAATCAAATAAACAATTGAATTATGCAAAGACCCTATCTGTTGACGATGGAACCGGAAGAACACCAAAAAAAGCGTTCCGGATTAAGATTAAAAGTAAGTAATTGTTTCTTACCTGAGAAATTAAAGGGGAGAAAGGTAGGAGAAAACGATGATTGATTGGGCACCACGAAGAATATAGAGGAAAAAAACAATCGAAATACAAACCCAAAAGAATTGGAATTGCTTTCTCGGTCAGACTCCAAAGCCGTTTGTCTTCCACGTTTGTGACTTTTTCAATTGTGGCATGCCAATATGTAATTCAAACAACACACGTTTTGAGTTTTTCTAGAATGTTTTTTTTAGACAGCATTAGTGATATATATATATATTTTTTTATTAATTATTAAATATTTTATCCTTTGACATAGTGAATATAATAAAATATAATATTTGTTAACTATTTTTAAATTTTTTTAATACAACTATTTTCAAACTTGTTTATAAGACACTATATACTAATTAATTATAATATGATGTATGTTAATCTTTTATAGTATATTACCCATTAATTCACTTATAAAGTTTGAAATGGTAACTGTGCTCAAATAATGCATTTGGAAAAAAATATGTAAAATATAAATTTTAATATTTAAAAAAAATTAAGATGGTTTAGTTATTTTTTTTGCTTTATCCAAAATTTCAATATCTTTTCTATCTTATCATGAGTTTGTGACACAAGGAAAAGACAATGGAAGATACATATCAAATCATCTAATAATTTAAATGATTCAATTAAATTATCATTAATTTTTAACGGATGAGGTGACGTGATAGTTAATAAAACTGATATAATTATATATTTTTCTCGATATTTATACATTACATCAATTTAATTATAATTTTCATTTAATTTTATAAATTTAATCTTTTATTCATAGACCGACAATTGTCATCGTTTAATTAAAAGAAAAGTAAAGCACAAAAAATTAAGATAAAGATGCTTATAGCATGAATTAAACCTGGACAAATGGTAAGGAGAAAGGACACTTCAACCATCGAGCTAAACCCAACCATTAGTATTAAACACAATAACATGTATATCTCATACTGTAATTAATGCAAAAAAAGGTCATATTAAATTTACTTAGTGAGATTCAAGTTTAGGTCAAATATAGTTTCAAAGAGCACTTAACAACTAAACAATTTTTTTATAGAAAGTGGTTAGTTTTATTAAAAATAAAAAAATATAAAATTATAAAGTTTCATTACTAGAGAGCCACCTAAATCACATAAAGACTAAAGAATGAAAATGTTAAAAAACCTAACCAAAAAGCTCGAACAAAATAAAGATACGAACAAATCTGATTGTATTAGTAAACAAACTACAAAAGGGGATGAAACTACTGAAATACCACTAACAAATCGTAAATTAGAGTCAAGTAACGTGAAAAAATTATCCACGAACGCAAAAACGTGTATCTAAATCAATTCGAGGGTCCAAAGCAGGGAAGATCAACATGATAACAAATAAGTATCATCTTGATCAGTCTTGGCGATGTCAAATCCAACCCTGAGATAAAAGATAAACGAAAACAACGATAAAAAAACTGAAAACTACCAAAAGGCAGAGATAAACATGTCACAAAGACGGAGATAAACATGCCACAAAGGCAGAGATAATCGTGTCACAAGATAGAATAACTTATTAAAAAACTAAAAAAAACAAAGAAAAAAGACAAGTGATCAACAACCAGTATCAAAACTGGTGCCATCGCCGGCTAAATAAAATCAAAGAAAAAAATTGATTCGATCTATAGAAAATGATATAAATTGTAAAGGAAAAAAGAAAAGAAAAAAAAGGAGAGGGTGAAGGGAGAGAGGGTAGGGTTTTTCTAATAAAAGTACTTGTTTAACCACTAAACAAATCTTATAATTTGAGATTAAATAGATATAATATATACATATTTTAAACTCTATTTGTTACAAGATGAAAGAAAATTGGATTGAAAATTGGTATATTAATAGACTAAATTTAATAATTCTTTCTTTTATATTTATAATTCAGTGGTTTCACGTAAGATAGATATTATAGAGGCCTATTATTGATACGATCTTCTCAATCCAAAATTTTTATTCATAATTTCAAGATTTAAATTCTTAAACTTATATAAGAGATTTAACATTTCATTTCACTAGATCAACTAATTGTTAATTATATATATTAAAAATAACATTAATTATATTAATGTGTGTGATTGAGTTAACATCATCCGTTAATTGGATAAATTAATTAAAAATAACATAAATATTACTTTATTTTTTTATTCTCAGATAACATCTTTCAAATAAAATGATTAAAATGTTATGAAATAATCTAAACGAAGAAATAAGATAAAACAAGAAGAACAAAAGATATATGAATAAGGGGAGAGAACTGTATTACTTCTCAATCCAAAATTTTATTCATAATTTCAAGATTTAAATTCTTAAACTTATATAAGAGATTTAACATTTCATTTCACTAGATCACTAATTGTTAATTATATATTAAAAATAACATTAATTATATTAATGTGTGTGTTGAGTTAACATCATCCGTTAATTGGATAAATTAATTAAAATACATAAATATTACTTTATTTTTTTATTCTCAGATAACATCTTTCAAATAAAATGATTAAAATGTTATGAAATAATCTAAACGAAGAAATAAGATAAAACAAGAAGAACAAAAGATATATGAATAAGGGGAGAGAACTGTATTATTATCTCAATCTCAGTTGTGTACAATGCTTTCTCTGAACTCCATATATTATAAGTATAAGGAGTAGATATCATATAGAACTCTAACTCTAATTGATATTAAAGTCCTAATATTAAAGTATATAAAAACCCTATCTTATATATAGAGATAAAAGATAGAGATAGACATCCACATAAATAAATATTCATAACACTCCCCCTTGGATGTCTATGAAGATAATGTACCTCGTTAAAAAAATTTATTAAGATAAAAACCCTGTGGGAAAAAATCTTAATGAAGGAAAAGAGTACATCTATCTTTAATACATATAACATGTTGCCTCATTAAAAACCTTACCATGAAAACCTAGTGGGACAAAACCTTGATTAAGGGGAAAATAGTACAACGTGTATTTACTCCCCCTCATGATAATATGACGTATGATCTTTGAGTATTACAACTCAATCTTGAATACAATCTTCAAATTTTCAGATAAACAATACATCAACGAATAAATCTTTTCAAATTACCACTTAAACTTATTTATCAAATATTTATATTACTCTTCTTTTGAAGATCGTGAGGGAGAAAACTTTAAAAAATATGTCCCATTTGATGTATCATCTTTTCAATTGTTCTAATTTAAGTACTTGATCTGTAGGTCGAGACAAAACCTGATTTCAAGATTCTTTATCTCACATATTCCTTTAAACGATCAAGATACTTTTGAAACTCTTCAAAAATTCAATTTCAAAGCTCTTCAGGAGTTCCAATTCAAAGTATACAGTAACATAATTTGATCTTTGATGTCTTTATAAAGACATACGAGTGAGTAGGCTCTCATCGATTTAGATATATCATACACACTTAGATCGATTCATTCTATCTAAATATTTTATGCAGATATATTTGTAAAAATTTCGTAGGAATTTGTAAATGCTTCAAGCATTTTAATCCTTCAGAGATAAACATCATTATATATGGATCCACAAACTATTAGACGTATTATAAAGTTTTCATAAGTGCCAGAGTAATAAAGTAATGGCATCCACCAAGAATTTAAAGTCTTTATGATTAAAGTTGTATTGTATATCTTACGACTACTCATTTATACCTTATTTGCATTACACCTTTAGGTGTTTGGACTACTTGTCCATGTTTTGGAAGTTGATTTAACTTTACTTGAATAGCGTCTTTCCATGTATCTCAAATTATTTTCACATATATACTTCTGGATAGATTTTAATTCAAGATCCTCATTTTATTTCTTCAATTCTATAGAAATATTATTTGTAAAATCGTCGTCGATAACTTTTCTGTTTGGTTCCATCATTTTCTCATAATGACAAAACTTATCGAGATCTCTTCATTATTTCCATTTTCATTTTTTTTAGGTACCTAAAACTCTTCTAGAGTTATGTTATTAGTTATGTCTTGGGTTTCTTCATAAATACCCGCCTCCGCTATATGGCCATCTTATACTACTTTTAATTTACGAGAATTTTAACCGTTGGAACTACCATGCTTTGGTCATGGTTTACATTCTTTTTCTCTAACATGTTATCCTTCTGGGATTTCAATTCAAATTTAGAGCATTTTCAGCTGGTATATGAGACTTGATTACTCTCATTAGGTCACTAAATATTTCTAGCATTTAACTTGTAATGAATTACCTTATGAACTTCTGGTTCACATCACTATGTACAAGGATCTAAATAAAATGATTTCATTTATATTTTCATCCATTTGATTCTTCTCTCCCCCTGTTGAAAAAATAATTGAATCCAAAACATTAAATAAATTGAGACTCATACTCAACAATATTCTTAATTTATTTCAAATATCAATTATGTGCATTTTGTAGTGGATCAATATATAATACACAATCCAAAAATTTTATAAGGGATTATGACCATAAGCCAATCATAAGAAGGAGTATAACTTATTGGCTTGATGCGTTGTAGTTCTATGTGTGAATTACTATATATATACTAGAACTTTTGTTCTCGTAGTTTAGCTATTAAAAGGAGGCAATGAAAATTTTTGCTAAACTGTCAATTCATAAACTATGGCTTTGTAATAGTTATTTCAATTGATATACAAAATAATCTTTGAAAGCTCGGAATATAAACTCACTAAGTTTAGCAAGATGAATAGTATTAATTGCATAATCTGAAAATTTTCATTTTTTCTCACAAACTACAGGTTGAGTTGGTAATATATGTGATTTGTCTTGTAGATGCATCTACTGAAATCATATCAAAGTTTTCTACTTTGTTGATAAATGGGTCCATATGTCAATCAGATATACAAGACATTCAGTCTCGACCTTAACTAGTGATGTTCTAAATTCTTTTTGAGAACAAATAACACAAGAACTTGTAAATCTCAATAATCTTCGCATCATTATTGATTGGGATGGTCTAACCAGTCATACCAACTAAATAAAATTTTTGAACTTGTAAACTTTTAGTTTACCATAACATGTGATTCAATTTCATTCAAA